ACACATTTCATTCAAAGTGGTTTAATCTGCAATCAATGCGGCCAACCGGTACATTCGAATTCGATCAAAACATGTATTGGCAATGGTTTGGTTCTTGGCGTGCGCGCCAAATTCGTACACAATCAAAAGATTCCAACAGAAGCCGAGAAAACTCGTGCCTTGGCAGCGTTTCATGACCGAAAAGTTTGGAAAGCAGCGGCCTATCACAATGCAGTCGCATGGACGACAGCTCGACGTGTGATTCACAACACCATGCCAGTCGACTCAGCTGGGTGGAGTGCCGCGTCGCTGACCACGATGACACCAGAAATCGCCTCACGCCATTGCATTGTCTTGTGTCCATCCATGCAGCTAGTCGACTGGAGAATATGCACTATGGAGAATAACCTTTGTCAATACATGTTTTGATCGAATTCGAATGTACAGGTTGGCCACATTGATCGCAGATTAAACCACTTCGAATGAAATTAGATTCCAGATGTACTTCGACGTTCAAAGAACTTCGGCACCACATTGATAGCTGATTTGGCCACTTTGAACGGGCAGTGGTGTAGTACATTCACAGCTAGTTAACACTTCCAGTAAACCAAACCGTCATTGACGGAGCCTTCGTGGACGAGAGATTGAATACCCCACAAGGCACTTCAACCCAATCGTCAATCCTTCGCTGTATCATGGACAGCCTTTTCTCGGCTGAGGACACCACAGAATTTTCGCGAGGCACTCGCTGGTAGATCATCGTGCTCGTCATATCGCCCCGCGTCCAAAGAGTGAATCTATTCATCTTATTGTCTCTTACAATCTTATAATATTTTGTTTTTTGTATTGATGTCTGTATTGTTAAGATCTTCCTGAGCAAGCCATACACTTTGGGCAAATACTACAGGTCAGCGTTTTCGCTGCTGGCACAGCAATGTTACATGAAATCGATAGAGGTGTTAGTGCATTTTGTGAGAACAGTCTACGGTTGTTCTAATCCAAATTGCAGTAAATTGCTGTTCAAATTAACGCACCAGACATTTCTGTTGTTGTGCATTCTACCCGTGGAAAAAATGCCCCAGGTAGAATGCTAGTTTCAACTTAATTAATGATGGAGCGAAGTTATGTTCTTGGTGCGATAAAATGAAATATCACAATTTTGCTCTGGTGCGATATTCAAGATATTTCTGGAATTAGGTTAACATGGTAACAGTTAAACTGGGGTCATAACGAATGACATCTGTCACCAAAATCACTCAGCCAAGAGGCAATCTTACTTTGACATCATGTGCACCTAAGCTGATAATATAAGGATAATACCATAAAACATTACGATAATAGCAAACGGAGTATCAATGAGAATCGTTTTCGTATGACGACAAGATCATATTGTATCATACTACCTCTGTCCCCCAAATATTGCAGGCGAACATTCCACAGTACACCAAAGTCAAATACAAGGAATCTGTATTTAAAAAGTTTTTACTCGAGTAGTACTAATCTATTCAACGTCGACAACCAAAGCATCCATCATCTGCGTCAGTTCTTCCAACCGATCTTCTTCTTCCAGCCGCAAGTTCACAATG